CCCCCCACCCCCCCCCCTCCCCACACACCCCTGCCCCAGTTAAGGAGAGAACCCAGGAGTCCTGACTCCTCCTCTTTAATCTCATGGTCCCATGCTAGGAAAGTTTAAGAATACTTTGCCCCCTAGTGGTGAGATAGCAGCCACCAGCTGGGCTCCTGGCAGTCTGTCCAGGAGGGGAGTGGGCTTCTGTAGGTGCCCCTCACTCCTGACCCGCAGCCCCTGCCAGCCCATTCCTGGGCTCCCCCAGCTCTGCTGCTGCCCCTAATTCCTGACCCACAGCCCCTGTGCAGATGGGATAAGGGAGGGGGCTAGTCTGAGTTGTGAGGGAAGCAATCCCTGGTTTCCCATCTTACCCCCGAGTCAGACAGATGCAGATCAAACCCCTGAAGAGGATGTGAGGCTGTTTATTGACAGAGGCCCTACAAAAACTCCCCTGCACCTGCCCCAGTAGCCTTTGGCAAGGGGGGAATACAAAGGGAATGTAGATACAGAACAGCAATGTCAGCTGTGTTTGTGTAGGCCCTACAAAAACAAATTGGAGAGGGATTTAGCCAGGTACAAACTGCAAGGTTAGTGGGTGCTGTGACAGGAGGTCAGGGGAGGGAAAGCTAATATCCAGGTAATGGAGGTCCCTCTGAAATAGGATACCATTGGCTGCCACCATCATGCCTCCTTCCCCAAGGTGGCAGCTGGAAGTGAGATGTGAAAGCTACTTTGTTCTAGTAAAAGCAGTGAGGAGTCCTGTGGCATCTTATAGACTAACAGAAGTGTAGGAGCACAAGCTTTCGTGGGCAAAGACCAACATGCATCTGACGAAGTGGGTCTTTGCCCACGAAAGCTTATGCTCCTACACTTTGGTTAGTTTATAAGTTGCTACAGGACTCCTCGCCGCTTTTACAGATTCAGACTAACACGGCTACCTCTGATACTTTGTTATAGTAGGATTTCTGGGAAGGATTGGGACCAGCCAGTTTGTTATAGTAGGTTCTCTAGAAACTTCAGAGCTACATAGGCCACCTTGTTATTACTGGAGGCTTGGAAAGCATTACAGGTTGAACCTCTCTAGTCTGGCACTCTCTAATCAGGCATGATTTTAGTTAGTCAGATGTCCTCTTATGCGTGTGGCCAAGTTTCTCACAGTCCCATACAGTTTATTTACAGCCACCAGTCCTGGCTCTCTGTGTTCGGTGCTGTTATTTAGCTCTAATTTGCCTCTAAATATCTTCTAAGAGCCCAGTAAGCAGGGGAAGTGTTGGTGATGCTGCTAGATAATATTGACCTCCTATTGTTTGGAAAATTCTCTGGTTCGGCACCAGTCAGGTCCCAAAAGTGCAGGACTAGAGAGGTTCAACCTGTAGTTTGTTATTGTAGAGTCTACTAGAAGGAAAGTGGCAATGGTTTGCTATTGGAGTATTTCTATGATTTAAACAAGCACACACACACACAGGCCTGCCGCCAGCCTGGCCCATTGCCAGGATCCCTCCCTGTTCCTCCCCCCAGGCCTGTGGGCCCCACACCATCCCCTCTCCCACTGCCAGGATCCTGCCCCCAACTTCCCCAGTGCAGGCAATACAACTGAGTCACATCCGCTGCCAGCCATTCAAATGCAACTTCCCCTCCCCCAGCTTCCTTCCTCTTCTACTGCTTGCATCTCCCTCTGTCCCATTCAGTCCCCGCATACTGCTCCACCACATGGCAGCCCCTTCACCAATCGTCTCAGCACTCCCCCTCCCCCGACCATTCACTGGCAAAACAGGAAGTCCCACCCTCCACCAGGCACACTGGGCAGGAAGTCCCACCTCACCTGTCATCATCGCTGTCCTGGTGTCCCCCCATGGCAAACATAGATCGGGCCAGGCTGAGACGTGCACCAAAAGGGTCCGACGCTTTTCGAACAGGGCTCCCTTCCCGAAACAAGGGGAGGGCTGGGGAGGAGGGGCGGGAGCTTCGCAGTGGAACCTGTAGAGGAGACATCATAATGGAGAGAGGCCAATGAACAAGGTGGAGCAGAAGGGACCCAGGCATCCTCCCTTGCCCCCACATGCTTCAGTGGATGCTGCCAATGGCTCCGCATCCCAAGGACAGCATTGGGTAGCTGCAATGGGGCCTGAATACCTGGGTTCCTTCCATTCTTTCCCTGCCCACCAGAGCCTGGGGGGCAGTGGGCAGATGAAAATCACCCCTTTTCCGTCATGGTGATGAGAAAGGAGGAGGCAGCCGGGGAGGGGGAGGAGGCTGCTCTGACAGCGGCTCCTGTCCACAGGGCTCCCAGCAGGGAGCTGGGTGGTGGAGGCCCGGGCTGGCCACAGACAGGAGATTCATGAGATATCTGTGGGTCTGCCTCTACTTTGTGGGGCTGAACTGGCTACGGGTTCCTCCATCAGACCCATGGCCCAGTCGGCCTGAACCCACCTCCGATGCCAGATGCTTTCAGAGGAAATTTCTGCAATGCACCTCACTATATCACAGCACAGGAGAAGGTGGCCCTCAGACCTTACCCCATTAACTTCCATTACCCCCAGCCGAACTGTCAGCCCAGCCAGCATCCAGTGGTGGGGAGTTCTGCAGGCTGATGCAGCCCCAAGTGGTAGGAGGTCATTGGAATCAGGGTGATTGCAGGTCCAAAGGGAAGAGATGGAGCCAGGTGTGCAAGGAGCAGCCCCACCACTGCTATCTCCTCCCTCTCCAGCCACCACCCGTTTACTACCCCGTGCGCACCAACAACCCTCCACCTCCTCACCAAATGCTTGTCAATCCCCCTACCCTCTGGGGAGGGTATCCTAGTGGAGACCCCACCTATCTGGTGCAGGGGAGACATGGCTCCTAATATGGTTCAGAATTAACCCACAGGACTACCTACTGCAGGATTTCCACTGGGGATCTGATCGGCGAGGGGCAGGTAGAGTCAAGACTGGACTAGCCCACAGGCTGATGCAAAGGGCCAGATACAAGGTTAGATGGGCCTGTGGGGTGGCCTGCTACCACGTGGGTCTCCGTGGTCCCATGAAACCCAGGCATCTGGCCCCCTTTACCTTGTGCCTCTCCTCCACCTCCCTCCGGATGCGCTGGGCGAGGCTCTGGGGCAGCAGCAGCTCTTCCACCCCCACGCCCGATTCCCCAGGCTCAGCACTGGCCCCATCACTCTGAGCTCTGCCCCCTGGAGTTCTCTCCCCACCTCCCAGCGAGCGGGGCAGGTGCTCGCCAGGCAGCGTGGGCCAGGCTGTGCCCTGGGAGTGGCCATGTCCGCCCCAACGCGCCAGCGGGGGGCTGAAGTAGCCATGGGGCTTGGGGGCCAACCCAGCAAGCTCCAGGCGGGAGTCAAGAGACTGCGGGTGCCGGGCAGCGGCCAGGAGCCGCCCCACCACCTGGTGCTCCGGGTCCCGGTCGTAGAAATCCAGGCAGGTCCAGCGTCCCCGTTTATATGGCTCCCCAAGGCCCTGGTCCAGCTTCACCACCCGGAAGCGGGAGGCAGCGGTGCTGCCGGGTGGCACCGAGGGCCCGTTTCTGGGCACGGTTGCATCCTCTGGCAGCTCCATGGCGGGTGGCGCCTCCTGCTGTTCGTACTCAGTGGTGATGCTGGTGATCTGGAAACTGCTCTTCTTTCTGCTCATGGTCCTGCTCCCGCGCCAGCTCAGCGGGGCCTAGGCAGCACCGGGCCAGCACCAGGCTCTCGGGGCGGTGACATGCCTGCGGGCAGCTGGGCAAAGGGGGCACCACCAGGGGCAGGCAGGGCAGCCCCTGGGGTGCTAGCTCGCCTGGAGGTCAAGGGTCCTGGGGCAGGTTACAGGTCATGAGGAGCACACTCCCAGGAAGGGGGGCGGTTTGGGGGGGGGCTGCTGGCATCCCAGCCCCTAGGCCCCCACCGTGCTGGGGGCAGCACTGGAAAGTTCCCTTAAGTTGGGAGC